TTTTTTTTTTTTACTGTTGATGCTCACTGTCACACAAACGCAGATGTGTGGAGGTCATTGCACAAGCAGAAGTCTTGGTTTTGAGAAGTGGGCAGTGAGCAGTGAGAATGAGCAAGCAGTGATACAGAGTGTGTACTGGAAACAAAATGGATGTTCCCATCAGCCTCCACTGAGGGTATCAGAGTGGCTGATAAGACATACAATCCTTCAGGGTTGCTAAAAAAAATAATAATAAAAGAACCAGCTCAACCTCTGCCCAACTAGGCCATTCTGCCAGGACACTTACCAGACCTGTCGCTTCAAGACCACGGCCAGTAAAATAGCAAACAAACAACTTGGGGTGGCAAGATTCCTACACAATGAGGTTACATGTGAAGTGCAAGTTCTTCTTGATTTACAGGCTTATTACCCCTCTAAAAATATTTGAATTTGAACTTAAGACAGTTGACAACATTTTTTTTCCATCAAAGATACAATGTACAGTCATGGCCAAAAATATCGGCACCCTTGGTAAATATGATCAAAGAAGGCTGTGAAAATTAATCTGCATTGTTAATCCTTTTGATCTTTTATTTAAAAAATTCACAAAAATCTAACCTTTCATTGGATAATAATAATTTAAAATGGGGGGAAATATCATTATGAAATAAAATGTTACGAAACTGCCTGGAAGAGGACGTGTGTCTATATCGTCCTAATGCACGGTGAGGAGGAGAGTTTGAGTGGCTAAAGACTCTCCAAGGACCACAGCTGGAGAATTGCAGAAAATAGTTGAGTCTCAGGGTCAGAAAACCTTAAAAAAAAATTGTCAAACAGCACCTACACCACCACATGTTGTTTGGGAGGGTTTCAAGAAGAATTCTCCTAGCTCATCCAAAAACAAACTCCAGCATATTCTGTTGTCAGACACGACTGGAACTTCAAATGGGACTGGCTTCTATGGTCAGATGAAACTAAAAAATTAGCTTTTTAGCAGCAAACACTCAAGATGGGTTTGGTGAACACATGGATAAAAAGTACCCCATGTGTACAATGAAATATACTGCTGTATTTTTAATGTTGTGGGCCTATATTTCTGCTGGAGGTCCTGGACATCTTGTTTAGACACATGGCATCATGGATTCTATCAAATACAAACAGTGAAAAAATCAATAAGTGACTGACTCTGTTAGAAATCTTATAATGGGCCATGTTTGGATCTTCCAACCGTGCAATAATCCAAACACAAACCTCAAAAACAACACAAAAATGGTCACCGAGGAACAAAACCAAGTTTCTGCTATGGCCATTCCAGTCCCCTGACCTGAACCCTATAGAAATGAGTGTGGTGAACTGAAGAGAAGAAGCACCAACATGGAGCTGGGAATCTGAAGGGTCTGGGGAGATTCTGGATGAAGGATCACTGGGCACAAAACCAAGCTTCTGCTATGGCCAATCCAGTCCTCTGACCTGAACCCTATAGAAAATGAGTGTGGTGAACTGAAGAGGAGAAGCACCATCATGGAGCTGGGAATCTGAAGGGTCTGGAGTGATTCTGGATGAAGGAATGGTCTCTGATCTCTTGTCAGGTGTTCTCTAACCTCATCAGGCTTTATAGGAGAAAATTTAGAGCTGTTAAACTGGCAAATTGAGGTTTCAAAAAGTATTGAATAAAAGGGTGCTGTTAATTGTGGCCAATGTGTATTAGAGAAAAACATTTATTTCATAATATTTCCCCCCATTTTAAATTCTTATTATCCAATGAAAGGTTAGATTTTTGTGAATTTTTTTAATAAAAGATCAAAAGGATTAACAATGCAGATTAATTTTCACAGCCTTCTTTGATCATATTTACCAAGGGTGCCGATATTTTTGGCCATGACTGTATGTCTCATTAAAGATTACATATTTTGAGAACAATTTAAATTGTTTTTATAATATTTTATTTATTTTGGCATGTATAAAGTAGAAAAAACTCTTAAACTTAGACCAAATATAATTGTAACCAAAAGATACCTCAAAAAGATTTCAGTGAACCTGATTAAGATGCATATCAATGTTTTCCAGTCCTCAGATTATTTTGGTGTTATATTTTGTCTATGTTGCTTATATGGTAAGGTGTTGATTGACAGTGTTGGCTTGTACGAGAGTTCATATGTGTTGTATTTCCAGGAAGTTTAGTTCATTCCACATGTTCATTTTTTTTTGCTCTCTTGAGCAACTGCACAGGACAGGCAGGTTCAGTGAACCTCAGGTGATGTGTGCGCAGGGGGCAGAGGGTGTGGCATTCTTAATCACAAAACAAGCTCTTGGCATATGGGTGTGTGGCCCTGTATTAGTGGCAGTGTGTGTTTGTGTGTCCTTGTTCCTAGCCCTCTCTTTATGTGTGTTTCACAGGAAAAAGCAGACACCAGCTTCAACTCATCACAGCTATGCTCAGACATCCAGGTCAGTCGACCCACAATGCTGTGCATATCTGTTTTCAGACATTCACACACCTGCAGTCATCATCATAACTCACTGTTTCAACACAACACACTTTCATTCACAATGTCTCAGTGATAAATCAGCTGACTGCATGCTCAGATTACAGTGATTTGTGTATTATCAGTGATTAAAATCAGTGTGTGATTGCCGTAATTAACCGCAGTGTTGTCTGTGTACACAGGAATCATTTGACATCAGCAGTGAGGTGTCCACTCCAGAGACTGAGAGAAAGTAAGAAAATCTCAATGCACTCAATAATGTGTAGTAGCTGGTTGTGTCTCAAAAGGCGTGGAAACACTTTTTCAAAGGTAAACAATACTAATGAATCAGACCCAGGATAGTTTTTAATATCTAAACCATAAGCTTAATGGTTTACCCAAACCTAAAGGATAATTTGCAGGCTGTCTGACTTGAATGTGACTGCTGACCTCTCAGATATATGATCACACACATCAGGTCTGCTCTCCATCCCCTATCTACTCCTGAATGTAAGTGTGTGTGTGTATATGAACGGGTGTGAATTCCTTCGTTTTACTTCTTCACATCTTGGTGCTTCCAGGCTTCCTTCCTTCCGACCATTGTTCTTAGATGTTTAAGATGAAACTCGCTGATTAGAGAGAGGAAGAAAGAAATTCAGAGTTAAGTGAGACTCTGTGAGTTTATAGTACACAAGGGTGTTAGTCAAGCTGACTAAACGAGCTTTATTTAGCATTATTGCTTAAATAAACCTAACCCGATACACATGACATCATCTGTGCCCACACAATTGTGTAATTGTCAAAGGGTCAGTTTGCTTAATTTAAAATTTATTAGTCATGTCGTGAATTTCAGAATACTAGAGTTTTTGTGAAGATGAGGACTTTGAATGATGTCAGTGCACAAACAGCGTTGTGTCTCCATGCATCTTGTCCGTGTTGATGGTTTGCTCCTGTGGGGATGAGCAGTCCACGTGCCATGGGAAAGATTAAATTCTACTGCTGTCATCCACAAGCGAGAAGTAGAATGCTTAGATAAATGTAAAACATATGGAGCTGACACATCTTTCATCATTTATATGTCTCTGCGGTCCTGTGCACATGTGGCTGGGTTTGACTGGTATTCTGCTTTGTGATGGCTGTGAAACTAGCTTTGATTGACAAAAGCAACTTTTTTCGATTTTTTTAATTTTCAATCAATATTTATATTTAATAACATTAGCTAGTTGATTTAACTCTTTAATCTGTTTGTTTGAATGGTCTGATATAATCTTATATATATAAGAACAGTGGAAATTAAATAACATTGTAGCCCACTGACTTCCATTGTATGGACCAAAAAAAAGTTTTTTTTTTTTTTTCAAAATGTCGTCTTTTATGCCTCTGCCCCTTTAAAGTCAGCATAAAATGAAAATTCATCCTATCTGTTTTATAAATGCATATTATAGATTTTCTTGTGAACAATTCAGCCGTGCACACTGGGCCTTCCGGGAAAAACAGGTTTCTCTCTGGTGACATTTACAGGATTTCTACAATCATTTAGTCCGCTTAAACCTACTCCTGCAAGCTCAGTTTCACCTGCCTTCACTTTTGAGAGCATCACCCACATTTTAAAATCCAGTCAACAACCGATACATAGAACCAAGATCTGATGCTGCTTCTGTTTCATTGTGACTTTAAGTATTCTGTGAGAGCAGCTTTTATTCTTTCCGCCTTGACGTCTAAGCAGAAGCAATATGTTAGATGTTTGTCATATAGTTCAAATCGTAATTACAATATTTGTCATAATCGCAATAGGATTTTATGCAGCCCTGTTTCATATCCTATTCTTTAGAATTGTCTGTGACATTATCAGCACAGTGCCATACCGGACAAAACAGTCTTTGCCAGATTACCCCGACTTCCTGTCTGTATGATTAGAAGAAGCCTTGGCCTCCAGAAAGGCTGTTCATGCTGAACAGCAGAGAACCCGATGACAGTGAGAGACACGTGCGTGTGTGCGCGTGTGTGTGTGTGTGTGTGTTTAGAAGCCCCTTCATTCTTATGTTGGCAGTCTTCCTCCAAATACACATTACTGTTCAAAAGTTCAAGTAAGTTTTTATTTTATTTTATTTCTTTTAAAGAAATGAATCCTTTTATTCCACAAGGGCACATTAAATTGATCAAAAATTTACACTAAAGACCTTTGTGATGTTACAAAATGTTTCTATTTCAAATATATTGTTATTTTGAAATTTCTATTAATCAAAGAATCCTAAAAAAATAACTGTTTCCACAAAAATATTAAGTTATAATATAATAACACTGTTATTAAAAAAAATTGTTTCAACATTAATAATAAGAATTTATGTAGCTTTTAACCTGCTTTTTACTGAATTCTAGGTGGTAGAAATGTAACAGGACACCGAGAAAATGGACGTGTTTGAGTGTGTGTGACTTTAAGGAAATCCCTCAAGCTCCATTTACCATGACCTCTAGTCAAGGTCATTTCCTGGATGCTTCCTTTGCGATCTTTATATATGTGTTTTTGTGCTCAATCGTATATGTGTTCTGAACTCTAAAGCCAGGTGTAAGGAAGCAAACCAACCAATCACAGGACACCAGGTGCACCCTGGGATAGAAGTGTTCCTCTTCATCGGCAGTTTGACTAGAGCGAAGAGGAAGTCAGCCCACTCCCAGCTCTGAAAGAGCAGTGAACATACATCACTGTAGTGATACATCACTGATGAGAACAACATCATGTTCCTCTTAATTCAATAGTGAAGACATGCTTGCATAGTAATATGACTGATCTCACTCTTTGGAAGGCCAGTTCTGATAATATGCATAACATAAGACATAAGGCAAGCTGGCTACATTCACAGAAACAGAACACAGTTGTCTGTGATTTTAAATAAAAGCTAATTATGGTTTTGTTCATACCATTTTGTTCAGTTTGTAAAGGAAATTGACAACCATATTCCATAAACAAAGTGACTCCTTTAAACATTGAAGACTCACAACTGAATTTTGGGAGCAAATTTGGTTGATTGGTATGTACCTATGATTTAAACAAGCACACTTAAAGGTGCGCTAGGCGTTTTTTGTCGATGTTGATATCAGCGATGTTGATATTTGAAAGCACCAAAACAAACACGCCCATACCCCAACAGGACCTCGCCCCTATTTTGATAACTCCGCCCCACACGTACGTTCACAACCCTGGCAGTGATGATGGCGGAATCTGCTATGCCTTGCGGCCGCAGCATATTCAAGCAAAAGCCAACACAGAAAAGTTGTGTGAAAAAGCAAAATCAACGTAACTCGCCAATCAAGAAGAAACAAAGCAACCTTGGCATCTGATTCCCTTCCCGCTCCTTGAGTTCTCTCCACCGCTGGAAGCTGTTCCGATATTTACGCGGGTCCTACCTCTTGCCTGATTGTAACCCTTCTTTTTAATGTTTTGTTCCTCCGAAATCTTCCTCTTTTTTTTTATTTTATTTTTTTATCTGCCATCTCTCGCTATCTATAGTCAATTTGCTAATATCCGTCCTGTGCACTCACTAAGTGCTCTCTTCTCCCTATCATTATTAGACATGTCCCTTATTGCTGATTGGCTGCAAGTGTGTTTTGGGACTCGGTCCGACACTGTGGTCAAAAGCGTTTTTCAAAAATCGCTTAGTGCACCTTTAATGGGATATTCTTTGCTAGGGCTGCACGAATTATAACACTGAAACATGCATTTATTTAATCAACTTTATTTTGATTCATCTTGCAGCCCAATTATCAATATTAAGGCTATTCTCTCTCAGGTTATTAAAATTGGTCAAACTTAGAGGTTTATGTATAGTAGGAGAGGGAGTCAGAACACTAAAGTGGGTTGAATCCGTTTTTAATTGCATATCTGAGTGGTTGAAAACAGCAAATGCTGCCCAAAAGTTTCAAATTGACCAAAAAAAAAATCATTTTATTCTCAAAGACGTGGTTACTGTCTGTTACTAAGGTTACAAGAAATTATTCAACCCAAACAATTTGTGTTGCATCTCTTAGTAAATACAGTTGTCGATCCCAAACATGCTACATATTAAATTGAAGGACACAGTTGAAGCTTGTGGAGAAAGTAAATATTCCAGTGTGAAGTGTTCTTCCATCACATTCTCCAAATAACAATCTCAGCAAGCCAGGGATTCCTCTGTTTCAGAGATAGTGGACATGACAGTCACTCGCAGTGAAGGAATTCCGCTAGCAGGGCTTTATATTCTGCTAGACATACACCAGTAAAGACACAAGACACCCTGTGAAATGAAAGAAAGAAACTGACAGACTGTAACACGTTTTTATTGTATGCTGGTCACACTGTGCTTGCACACATACAACTCTGTCAATAGCAGAAATCCTGAATGGAGCCTAATTTACTGAGCTGCTCTTCAATAGGGCCTTTTTAGCATGGGATGCAGTTGGCATACAAGCAGGAGACTCCCTTTGGATTCTGTGTGAGGTGAATGAGAGGTTAAACGGAGAAAGTTTGTGTTGCCATGGCAGCATAATGATATGATAATTCAGGGAGGCCTCCGTCATGCCTTGTGTCTCAAACACACACTTGAGTAAAAGAGCAGAGTTGATGTCTTTATTTGGTCAGAGTGCAGTGGATGTCCTGAAATATGCAAGAATCTGTGTTTTTAACACGAGCACATTTTCACAGTCCTTGTAATGACATGTAACATCTGACCTGACACTAAACACACACACACTGTCCTCATGAGTGTGTGTAGATACTGATAGCTTTAGCAGTGAGTATGTCATAGATGTATTTTGGACACATGGACAGCAGATGTAAAGCATACACGCATGCACCCATGATGATTTAAGCACAAGTGTGACTGTCTTCCTGTGGAGAAAACCAGACCGGTGCACGAAAGTGTATGTTAGTGTATGCTTACATGCCTGTGTCAGTGTTTACATTAGTGTACACTAGATTGAGATTGTTTTGTTAACCCAAGGATGAGTGAGAGAATCCATTTTCAAATAAGAAAACCACAACACATACACTTGCGTACTTGCATTTATGTCCCCATCTGTACAACAAACACATTTGAGGCAGTTTTCGTCTCCCTCTGTATTTTGGGTTTTGTTGAAAGTTGACTCAGTTCAGATGCTTCCTCTCACTGGCAGTTAACACATGGCCCAGTTTCGCACAGCATTTTACAACCGACTGTTTGACAAAGTCAACATGATCCATGTCACTTGACAAATGGGAATGTAAACCCTGGATATTTTCTCAAGTCAGGATGGGGTGCCCAGTCGTTCTGTATTTAAAAAAAAAAGGCTAAATACGGTTTTGACTCCAAACATTTTTTTCTCCTCATACACTACTTTTCAAATGTTTTGGGCCAGTAAACAAAAAGGTATCGTTAGGTCCACAAAAATGTTAAGCAACATAACTCTTTTCAACATTAATAATAATATTAATTGTTTATTTATTATTATACAAATGCCAAATAGGCATATTAGAATGATTTCTGACAGAAGCAATGGCGGCTGAAAATTCAGCTTTGCCATCACAGGACAAAAGTGCATTTTGACATGTTAAAGCAGAAAACATATTTTAAAATTGTAATATTATTTCACAACATTACTGTTTTTATTCTATTTTTGATCAAATAAATGCAGCCTTGCCGAGTATGAGACAAAGACACAGACACCAAATTGTTGAACGGCTGTGTACATGCATTTTTGTAAATGTAATAAAATGTAATCAATACATTAATTGGTGTGCAGACAAGAGTTTAGCCCCTTTAAAGCATGACATCTACACACATTCCAACAAATATGTTTGTCCATCACGATTAGTTGCTCAGGTAACTCATCGACTAACTGATTTAGAAATTAGTATATAAGAGTTTGTTTAAAGTGGTTTAGAGAAACAGCTTTCAAAGGTGATGTGTCTGTGTTAGAGTAGGATGTAATTAGGCCAAATTTGTTTTGTCAGTATCAATATGTAATCTGTGGATCCTTAGTGCACTATGTTAATCCTTTGACTCCGTAAATGAGTGCTGGGGTGTGTTAGATTTTTGTTATTTTAGTATTTTCCAAGGGCACTGTGCTTCAGAGGAGTGGAAATATAAACAGGCAGTGTCTGTCCTGCGGTGGCTCTTGTTCCCTTTTACTCCCTCTCTCACTTTCTGTCTTCCTCATCTTGTTTCGCTGCATCTCCAGAGCGTCTCATCTGTGCCCTGTGAGCCTCAGGAGCCTGACATATGTTCTGTGAACAGCACCACACTGCCCTCTACTGCCTCAAATCATAGAAATCTCTCTATACATTTGGTTAACACAAATCCAGTCGCCACTCGTACATACATACTACCTGTCTGCCAGTAGGAGATAAGGCCGTATATGAGAAATGTAATGTTCAGTGCTGAGGTGTTGAAGCGTTTTATTGTACATGTCCTAATTCCATTCTTTTCTATATTTTTCATCAGAATTCCTCTGCACAAATCCAGCTCTGAAGATGGATCAGGTTTGTGTTTCATTATGAAAACTGTTCAGCTATTATTATGATGTTCTGGTGGTTTTGAGGAAATTACATTGGAATTATTTGGTGTTATACCAGACTGGAATGTTCTGTTGACAGGGTTCACACTGTAAACACTAGATGGGCAGACGTGTAGATGTTAGATAATAGATGTAGAGTCAGTTCTTTTTGTAAAGTGTTAAATTTAGGTATTTCAGAGTGTATGTTTGTACAAAAGTTAATGAGTTTGATGGCCCTGATGGCTTTCTCCTCTCTTCACATACAGGAAAATGGGACAACAAGAAGAAAAACAAATCCTTCTGGCAGAACTTTCGAAAGTCACAGAAAGGGGTCACAAGGCAAACGTCAAAAGGTAATAAAAACAAACTCAATCTGTTTTCTCATGTTTCCTCCCTTTATAACTCTTTGCTCACTTGTTTTTATTGTTCAGAGACACTATATGAGAGAAGAGATGGCCCACTCATAGAAATAAGAATGGAAGAAATAACACTAAATATTGTGGCTGTAGTTCCATCTTTCACTTAACCCTTGTGCGACCTTTTGGACATTTTTGTCATTTTCAGTTTTGTTTTTTTTGATAATTTTGCCTGTGTTATTGCCAACCGCATACATTTTGGCACAGATGTGTATTTTTATTGGAATTTTACTATTTCACTTCAATTTCCTTTAATAAATATGTTTTGCACTAGGTACAAAAAATTGTTTCTCTCAGGGCCTTAAGGACAAAAATGTCCCCATTGAAACCCATTAAAATTGCTATTTTTAATCGCAGTGCCATTTAACTGTAAAATGATGCAATTTTTGTTAATAGGCTTTCATTCTGTTGGCAAGGCTTTAAAATTTTATTTTTTACTTTTTTTTACCAGATGGTGCCATTTTTTCAGGTTTGGCCTATAAAGCAAATACTGGCTTTATTGCTGTTTTCTGCTTCTGCAAATTATAGAGCCGATTGGTTAATAAATGCAGCTATAATTGTGTGGGTGTGTTGGTATAGATGTCAGAGTGTGGTTTGTGTGTCATAAAAAAAAATTGTGTGTGTGTTCTTGTAAAATTTGAGAGAGAAAAACTCTACTGCAAATCACAAATCCAACCACTGTGTGCACCAGCGGAGTTTTGCTGGCATCTAATGGGGAAAATTTGGTACTGCGCCCAAACAAAATCTTACTGAAAGCTCATTTTTTGAGATATCAACATCAAATTTGGAACACAACTTGTTTAGATGTATGCCTTTGATTTTCTTGCAGTTTTAGAGTAAAACATGTTTTGGATAATATATATTTCATATAACATTTTAAAATAGTATTTTTTTTTATACACACAGACACACACACACACATATATATATATATATATTTGTGTGTGTGTG